AAACAGCTATAAAACTAAGATTTCATGTGCAGAATTTGAAAATGTTTACCTTTCTTTTTTTGCTATCAAATTTTAGCCTGCAAATTAAATGGTATCAACAAGTAAAGACAAAATATGAAAAATTACGAAAAACGGAAAAACTAACAAGAAACATGCAATGATTAGAAATAAAACTGAACAGCGTGCATGACTTGCTGCAAGCAGATAATATAACTATTTCATGAATGAGATAGCGCAATAACATGCAGTATGTCAGCGAAAAACACTTCATGAACTCAATACAAATTACAATGAGACTATACATTATTAAGTTAAGTCAGCAAAAAGCATGCAGCAAATGCAATTAACAAAAAGAGCATGCAGAAAATAAAGCAAGAAAAAAGCATGCAGTGATTTGGAAATAACGTAAATGACCACGTAACGAACACAATTAATGAAACCATGCAGTTAATAATAGAAAGAAACATGCATACAGTAGCAGAAGCAGTAGAAAAAAAAATTATGAATTAATTATGATGAACATAAAGGCATGCAAAAGTAAGATAATAAAAAACGATTCAAAATTACAAGAAATTTAAAATTTTATCAAATAGCAATAATAAGTTAAACCAACGATAGAAAAATACAATTAATAAAAGTGGAAAGAAAAGCATACATTAACAATATAAATTAGTGTTGTTGGTTTGTTGGTGGAAGAAGCAAAAGTTAACAAATGACGTGCAAATAAGATCATAAGAAAGAAAAAAATACATGCAAAAACAAATTTAAAAAAATTTCGAAAATAACTAAATAACAGAAACAGACTATAAACTGTTATTAATATAAATTATTATCCAATAACAACGAGTAAAAACTATAAAAGAAGAAAAACATAACATTATAAGAAAAAGTGAAAATGCATATAAAAGCAAAAGTAGCAAGAAAAGATTTGAAATTGTCTTAAAAAAAATTTGATGTAAAATATTAACCAATAATAGTAATAGGTAAAGTAAACAAAAAAACGTGCAATTAGTAAACAGTGGTCAGATAGAGCAAAGTAAGCAAAAAGCATGCAGTAATTATAAGTAACCAGAAATGCATGCAGAAATGAAAGGAACAAAAAAATTTGTGAAAAAACTAAAACAGATATGCATGCAAAAACAAAATCCAGAAATATTGAAAAACAACTAAATAAGGGAAAAAGGTTCGTAACTACAATTAATATCAGTTGTTATCCATAATAACTAATAACAGGTTGCAAAATGCTAGCTAACACTAATAGGTTAACAGAAAAAAGCATGCAATTAGTAAACATGCAAAAAAGCAGACAGAGTGGGCAAGAAAAGCATGCAGTAAATTATAAAAATTAAAAATGAATATAGAAAAACAAGGAATGGTATAAACTGCAAGCATATAAAATATTATCCAATACCAAGAGCAAGTGAACTAAACAAAAAAGTCGTGCAAAAAGTTAATCAAAAATGCATGCAAAACAAAATCAAGAAATAATGAAAACAACTAAATGAGGAAAAAATCATAACTACAAGTAATATAAATTAATATCCAAAATAACAAGTTAGATCCAAGAAGGCATGCAATTAGCAAAACAACAAAAATGACATGCATCAACAATTAATAAAAAGCATGCATTTAAAGGGAATAATTAAAAATATGTAAGAAACTAAATTAACGAAAAATATTGGAAACTGTAAGTAATAAAATAAGCTAACAAAAAAGCAAGCACTAAGTTATAAGTAACCAAAAATGCATGCAGAAACAAAGGCAACGAAAAATCCTTCAGACTGTATATAATATAAAGCATGGCTCATTTTTAAAAAATAACTAAAAAAAAAAAAAAAAATGATGCAAAAAATGAATCAAAAATAAATATAAAAATAAAAAAGAAATAATAAAAGTAGGTAAAAAATTGATTTTAATATATACAAATTAACAAAAATAATATATGGAAAAAATATTAAAAAAATATAAATACACATAAATATGCAAAAAAGAAAAAAAATACAAAAAATACACAAAAATATACATAAAGTAATAAAAAAATAAAATATATATTAAAAAACCGCATGCAATTAGTTAAACAACAAAACAACATGCAAACCATTAATAAAAAACATGCATTTAACAAGATATAAAAATGTAGCACAATACAAAAATAATATAAATATCGCTGAATACGAAAAGCAAATTAATTAAACAAAAAAATCATCAACAAATTAATTAAACAAAAAAATCAAGAAATAATAAAAACAACTAAATAAGGAAAAAAGTTATAACTGAAAGTAATATAAATTATTATTCAAAAATAACAAGTTAGATCTAAAAAAGCGTGCAGTTAGCAAAACAACAAAAATTACATGCATCAACAATTAATAAAAAGCATGCATTTAGAGTGAATAACTAAAAATATGTGTGGGAAAGAAAAGTAGCGGAAGAAATTCGAAAAGCAACTATTAAAAAATTATTAGCAAATAACAATAAGAAGTAAAATAAACAAAAAGGTATGCAATTAGTAAACATACAAAAAACATGCATCAATAGCAGAAAGAAAATAATTAAAAACGAAGGCAAAAATAAAGAACAAAGAATGATGTAAATATAAAAGTAAAGTAATATAAAATATTGTCCAGCACCAAAAGTAAGTGAAATAAATAAATAAATAATGCAAAAAGTTAATCAAAAATATATGAAAAACAAAAAAAGAAAAAATAAATGCAGATAAACAAAAGAAAATTGTTTCAAATACATATAAATGAGCAAAAATAATAAAAAAGATATAAAAAATTTTTTTCAAAATCGAAGAAATGCAAAAAAAAAAATACATAAAAATAAATATATTAAAAAATGTGATGAAAAAGATATTAAACAAAACATAAAAAAATATTTTAAAAAAATTCAAGAATATATTAGAAAATATTAAGGAATATAAAAAAAAAACACGAGAACATTATAAAAGAAATCTGCAAAAAATAAAAAAAATAAATAAATACATAAAAAAAACTTCGAAAATATATTAAAAAAATAGAAAAAGTTATATAAAAGCATATAAAAATTAGTGAAAAATATATATAGGAAAAACATGTTAAAGAAATATTAAAAAAATGTTCAAAAATATAAAAAATAAAAAGACTAAAAAATACATTAAAAAATACATATATATAATATCTAAAAAATATATTAAATATTAAAAGAATTAAAAAAAAATTGAAAAATATGTTTAAAAAAATTAAAAATATCAAAAACATAATATATGTGAAAAAAATAATTAAAAAAAAGAATATATTAAAAACTAATGAAATTAAAAAAACACTAAAAAAATGTATGCAGCTTTTAAAACTTGTAAAATATCAAAAACATAATATATGTGAAAAAAATTAAAAGATGTAACTTGTAAAACAACAAAAGGATATGCATCACAATCAATCAATAAAAACATGCATTCAATAAAAATATTGCTGAATACAAAAATAATATAAAATATTGTCCAGTACAAAAATTAGGTAAACTAGACAAAATCATGCAAAAAGTTTGTCAAAAATACAAAAAAAAAAAAAAAAATTGAAAAAAAATGCAGAAATTTGGAAGGGCGGCAAAAAATTAGAGATATCCAAAAGTTTGAAGCAATTTCTAAATGCCTTAAAAACTCCAAGAAAACCGGAAAAACATCAAAGTTTAAAATGGTCCAAAAAATTTAAAAACATCAAAGATTAAAATAGTCCAAAAAAATTTGATGAATTCTAAAAAAGAATTCGAGAAATTACCAAAACTTCCCTCAGTATTCTGCTAATTCAAAGAAAATCTTTGAAAAAATAAGAAAATCAGAAAATACAGTTGTATACAAATAATGTCGAAGGTGTATGTAAACTCTACACAATGATACTTAAAAGAACAGGTACCAATTCTTGATTTTTTTCACTTAAAAAATAAAAGTAGAAAATATAATATTATCAAATTAATCAGTGGTGGCAAGAGAAGCTTAAATGTTTGTAGAAACCTCCAAAAATTACTCAGCGCTATTAAAACATGCCTAATATAGAAATTAGCCAGAAAAAAAAAAAAAAAAAAAAAAAAACTATTTTAAGAGACATATATAAACAAATGCAACTTAAAAAATTCAGGGACCTACTATAACTTAAAAAATTGGTACCCGGCATATACGTCATTACAAGCACCAAATTAGAAAATTTAACAAGATTAAGCAACGATTAAAAGAAAAATGATAATTGTCAACAAAAAAATCAAAATCAACAAATAGGTAACATAAACTGTAAAAAATAAATAACAAACAACTGTTACGAGTAATTCAAAAAGCAATAAATTAAAGGCATTAGAAATAAATAAAAAAGAAAGCATTAGAAACATTAAATTATTATAAATAATTCTTGAACGAAAAAAAATACAACACTAAACAATTAATAAAAGTTAGCCGTCCACAAAGAGCTAGCAACGAAAACAAAAGGAAAAACTAAAGAAAACAACTGAATTCGATGCAATAGGCTATCAAATAAGGTTAATTCGAAATTCTTAATCACAAAAAAAAATAATTTGGTTTCACAATCTTTTCAATTTTTAGCTCGCTAGAAACAATAAATGATATCTGCAAATGTAAAATAGCTATAAAATTCTCCATCAATTGGTTTATTTCCTTTTCTCATACATTTTTGAATTCAGTTGCTTTCATATTTAAAATTTCGAATAAAAATTTTTTTTTTATTTTCTATTTTTTTTTGGTTTTTTATTTTTTGATTTTTTTTTTTTGATAATTTTTTATTATTAGTATTTTTTTGACTTTTTTTTTCATTTATTTTATTTTTTTGGGTTTTTTATTTTATGTTTTTTTTTTCTTTTTTGATCATTTTTTTATTTTTTATTTTATGATTTTTTTATTTTTTCTTTTTTTCTTTATTTTCTGGAAATACTAACCCTCTTGGACATGCTTCATCGAGGATGGAGAACTGGAATAGGCAGCGACAGGTTGGCCGTGTGGGGATGGCCCGATGATGTCATTGGCCTGAAAGAAAAATTTATTGATGAGGAAAACTACGAGTTCCATTTTATGATTTTTTCCACAATAATTGAATTTTTTGCCATTTTTAAATTATATATATATATATATATATATATATATTAATTTCTCACCTGGAACGAAGAGGTGATGCGTATCCTCTTGTCTCCCCACAAGATCTAGTCTACGGCGCTTTACCTGCCTTTCGCTCATTACGGCCGCACATGCCCTCGGGCACCAATCGAGGGCATGAAGTTCTACGGCAGCTTTTCGCTGTGCGGCCGTATATTCGGGTGGCAGCAGAAGATTATGGCCACACCGGGCGCAAAAACCTAGAATATATGTATATTGAGTTTGCTAACATTCAGATGAGTCAAACGTACCAACATTTTCAAAAACTAATTGGAAATTTTGCTTTCAAATATACTTACCGTCCTGCTTGTGTATCCTCGAAGCATGGATACGCCACCCTTTTAACGTGTCGAACTGCCTATTGCAGATACCGCACACTGGAAATAGAAATGATAAAAAATGCTGATGCACAATTATTTATTAAAGCACCGATATAGAAATTTCGTGATCATTTTGATTTATTACAAGGAATAAAATTTTATGACTTAATTCATAAATATGATTTGATCACTAAAGAATTAAAACTATAAATTACCGATGCGATTGATTTCGCCTTCTTGATGCACCGTGTATGGCACTGCCTGCGGCACTTGCAACTCCCTTCGGAGCTGTTCCGGTAAGTCCCCTAGGTCAGCGGGACGGTATTGTTCCGGTGGTGCCGCAGCCAATACATGCTGAGTGGCGAGGACCGGGATTTTGATCGTCCTTGTTCTCCTGAAACAGACTTACATTTAATGTAAATTACTTAATTAATAGTATTGCTTTTCTATATACATACTACCTTCTTCTAATTATAGATTTGCTATACAATTGTTGCAAAAATCAAAACTTACAGGACGAGTTCACGGACCGATTCAATCCGTTCCTCAATTCCACTCGTCTCCATTGATGCCGCGTGTACCTCAGGCTCTTCGTTTTCATTGTCTTCTTCTGGCAGAGGGGCCCACTCTGCTTCGTATGACCAATTCTCGGTCTCATTATCATTTTCCGGCAGAGGGGCCGACTCTGCTTCATTTTCATCAAATGTCGGCTCCTGAGATACCGCATCCTCTTCCATTTCTTCTTGAGCACTAAGCTCTTTCATTTCGTCCAATTTCGTTTGAACTGTGTCCAAGAGGTTTATGAGCGATCGCTCAAACTGAAAAGTTATCTTTGCAGTCATATTTTAAATTTGTGGCAGAAGGTTTTGCAAATCTTTCTTCGCCATCAATTTAGAGCAAAAAAAAATGTTGAAAAGAAAAAAAAAAGTAAAAATTACTTGAATAGTTTCCTTTACAAATTCGTGTAATGCATTAAACATTACAGGTTCCCTTTTCAAGTAATTAAAAACAGCTTGGATACCTTCCATATTGGAACAGTCACTCTGAAAAATAACAAAATTACCAAATTTTCAACAAATAGAAAAAAAAAAGAAAAACAAAGATTTCGTACATTTCAATTTACTTTAAATCTAATATAACTTATACCAATAACAAAATTACTAACATTTTCAACAAAAAATTTTCAGTAAATACAAAAAAAGAAAACAAAGGTTTTCGTACATTTCAATTTACTTAAAATCTAATATAACTCATACCAATAACAAAATTACTAACATTTTCAACAAAAAATTTTCAGTAAATACAAAAAAAGAAAAACAAAAGTTTTCGTACATTTCAATTTATTTAAAATGTAACATTACTTATATCAAGTATTAATACCTTTTACTAATCTAATCCCACTATAAAAAAAAAGTATCGAGAATGAGCGAGCATTCATGGAAGTATATTCCTATTGCTTTGCAGACATCTTACTTTATGCGCCGATCCTTTTGCCTTTACAGAAAATATCGTTCGCTCTCTCTTTCTAATCTCTGATCCATCTCAATTTGATCTGACATCCTCATAACATCTTTTTATACGAAAAAAAAAGTTGATAAGATTGAGATTTGAACTATTCATTATTACTTCCAGAAATTAAGGTTTGCAAAATATGAAATGGAATCGAAAAGTTTTTCTGGAAAAAGAACTGAATTATCGGTTTGTTTTAACAAAAAAAGTTTTTGTTTTTATGCCATTCCAAATGAGATCAAAATAAGTTTGTCTTCTTAATTTCTTTTCTTTAGTCTTTTTCATCAATAAAAAAAAAAAAAAAAAATTATGCTCCGATCAATATAGATTAAATAGTATAGAGAATTCACTTTATGACTTTTATTCATTATTTCACTAATTCACAAATTATAAAAGAAATAATCATTTCGACATGCCGTATCATACTTAGGGAACGGTTATAGATTTATTCAACCAATTATTTTAGTTTTACCATTGCTATTAAATCGTTCTCGACCGAATTTTTGATAATAGTTTTGTTTCCTTTACAGATGAAATAAAATGACTCAGATAGTTTTTTTTTTCATAGTTTTATATCGTTTTTTTCTTAGTTTTTATATTTTATTTCAATTTTTAATTCTACTTCTATTACTAGACATAAATGCAACAATTTTTTGCTTTATTTCTCTTAATTTTAGACTTTTGGCAAAGTCCAAAAAACATAACAATTATCAATATTAAATAAAAATTGAAAAGCAAAAAATTTTAGACTTTTTAAAATATAATTTTTTTACCTCACTTTTTTTCTAAAATTTGTAATGCAAACTTTTCAATTGATAATATTCAACGAATAAGCAAAAAAATTTTTCCTATCAAATTTATCTTTTGAACTTTGAAAAATATTTTGTTGATTTCAGATTCAATTAATTTTGGCAGTAAATTTGTTAAAAGGGTGAATTTCAAAATGTTGAAAGCTAGCAATACTGTTAAAATTTCAGTATTGCTAGCTTTCAAAATTTTAAAGAATTATAAAATTAATTCGAATTTATTTTGTAATTAATATTACAAATTATTTAAAATATTAATTTTAAAGTGACAAACTGGTATTGAAATGTTGAATTTAAATTTTTCGGCACAAATCCAGCTGTAAATGAATAAAATTTACTAACACAGAACTGAATTTTCTTATCAAATTTAGCTTTTGAACTTTGTAAAATATTTTGTCGACTTCATATTGTTAGCAATGTGAAGCAAAATACTAAATAAATTCATCATTTTTTTCTAATTCAATTAAAAATTAGTTTTGCCACCATTGAAGCATGTTAAAATTATCAAATACAACGTCAAAAATAATAAAAACGATATCAACTGATAATTTTAAAATCCGAGAAGATTAAGTTTATTAGGCAAATTCACTTTTTGTGCTAGAAATATGCTTAACTTGATCAATTTATGACTTATTTCAGTTTAAAAAATTTTTTAGTTCATCAATTCCCTATCATTTTATCACTTAAAATTAAAATTTCAAGTGATTTATAATAATATTGTGAAGAAATGTTTGCCAGAAATTAGATGATCACATTGATTGTCAAACAAAATACTAAATAAATTGCTTGGAAAATGTTTCATTAATAGATATCTTAAACAAACTTCACTTAATATAAATCAAGTTCATCTATTTAAAGCATTACTTACAGCTTTTTTAAACTTTAAGTATCTGAAAAGAATGAAAAATTTTTGAGGTTGAAGGTTAAAAGTTTCTTTTTTTTTAATAATCTTTACTTCTGTATTCACTTTTGGTTTTAAATCAAATGAAAAGATATTTCAAAATGAAATCGAAATTTGCTGTAATATTTTTTTGTAACTTTTATCACACAAATCTTTAATGAATGATTATTAAAATTTTACAGAAAAGAAAAAAAAAACAAGTAAGTTTATATTTGTTCAATGTTAAATTAGTAATTTATGTCATTTAAATGATTTTAAATGGAGTAAATGATTTTTAATTATGACTTTTCCAAGAAAAAGTTTTCAAAAAGCTCTAATTTTATCAGCTTTATCTTAAGCTGATTTGTCTTTCATTTTTTTTTTTTTTGTAATTTTTACTCTATTCTAATTAATTAATAAATCTTATACATCCCTCAAAAAATCTCTTAAATAATTAATTAGCTAGTCACTAATCACTCCTTTTTGCTTCTTTAAAAACTATTTTTTTTTTCTTTTGTAATGTAAACGTTCATAAATTACATTAGCAACTGTTATTTACTATTGTTTATATTTTTCAATTGTTGTTTATGTTTTTTTTTTTCATATAATTTATGCATGTAAACAAGTTAATAATTATTAATTAGAGCAATTTACGTCTTTCCCTTTTATTCTTTATCATTCATTGCATTGATCCTTATCACTAAAAATTATTTCTCGTAGCAGTATGTTCGATTATTTTCTTTCTTTGAAAAAAGTAATTAATATCTGAATAAAAAAATGAATTAGATTATCGTTATATATTTTTTTGTACATTCGTATTGTTCACTGAGAGAAAAGCAAATTCTTTTTATTTGTCAATTTTGAATTTAGATTGTATTAGGATTCGAATTTAATTTAAATATTTGATAATCAAGATGATATTCATTATAAAGTAATAAAAATTTAGTAATTTCATTTCATTTCTATTGTTTACAACAATTTCAACTAGTGCTAGGTTTTCTACAATAAAAAAGATGACAATCATAGAATTTATGAAAGGAAATTATTCGCCAAGGTTTATTTTATCATTTACAGTTATGATTAAAATGATTAAATTTTGATGTAAGTAGTAATATTTTTCCATTATGAGTAATATAGATGATACTATTATTATTTTAATGCAATACTTATCATATGTTTTTTTTTTTTTTGAAATTTAAAATGAAGTTATAAAAAAACTTAATTGAATTGATTTTTTCCTCATCTTATTAAAGTTTGCTCCTTATGAAACTAAAAAATTCAAAATTTATCCATTATTATTCTTCTATCACATTTTTTAGTTTACTAACTTAATAATACTAATTTTATAATGATTCTAAAAAAATTTTTTTTAAAAAATTTGAAATCATTTACTAAAATGTTTATTTATATTAAAATAGATTTGTCTAGAATTAAAAATAAAAATTTTCTAAGGTATTGTAATTAACTAAAAATAGATAATTGTTAACAATTTATATATGTTATGCTTCTTTTATTCTGTATAATTTTAATATTTTGAATGATAATATTAATTAAAGTAATTATTATTTCAAAGTATACGCTATTATGTTTGTCTATCAATATTGATCAGTCAAGGAATTGGCCAAATTATCATAGCTAATTGGTGTAACAATCAACATTCTTCATTGATATGCTTTATTGCCAAATTGTTTATCGTATTTCTTGCTGCCTTTACAATACAAGTTAGTACATGATATGATGCAATATATGATATGGTGTGGTATGATATGATATGATATGGTATGATATGGTATGACAATGATATGTATATGATATGATATGGTATGATATGATATGGTATGATATGATATGGTATGATATGATATGGTATGATATGATATGGTGTGATATGATATGGTATGATATGATATGGTATGATATGATATGATATGATATGATATGGTATGATATGATATGGTATGATATGATATGGTATGATATGATATGATAAGATATGGTATGATATGATATGGTATGATATGATATGGTGTGACAATGATATGTATATGATATGATATGATATGGTATGATATGTACATGATGAGGCATGATATGATATGTATAGTACAGTATATGATTATGATATGATACAATCAATACTTAAACTTTACATTTCTAATTTGACTTTTAGTATGCACAATGATACGATTAAATGAATAATTTAATTAAGCTTAAATTTTAATATTAAAATTAAGAAATTTTATTTACATTTCATATTTCATTTTATTACAATTATACTTCAAAAAAAAAAAAAAAGATTCCATTATTAACAGTTTTACTCACAATTACTCTTTTTTTCCTGGTGAAAGAAAATATATGATTTTAATGTTACATCAAATGAATGATAGCAAATTTATAGTAATAAACTATTTCTTTTTTCTTTCTTTCTTTTTTTATAATTTTCTACTACAATATGACAATAATGTGACAATTATCATTTTAATATATATTTTTTTCTTAAATGTATTTAGGGAGAATTTGAAAAAAAGATCCATATTATTACTTTTCTTTTTTATTTTCCTCTTTTCTTAACTTTTCTAAAAGTTTATTATTGAGCAAATATATTTCTTTCAGTGGTGTCAGATTTATTCATCGGGATTAACTCGAGCAAAACACGCATTCTTTGATGAATTTAATGTCCTTGAAACTTATCAACCAAGAGCTCGTACAATGGGACATTTATTTTTGGTAATTTCTATCATAAATAATGGTTCAAAAAAAAAGAGAAGCATTTTTTAACATAAAATTTTATTTATATAAATAAAAGTGACTTAAATAGATATTTATTAGTGAACAGTGAAATAACATTTTAAAAATGAATAATTTTTAATTTTTTTTTAATTTAATTTTAACTTTTTAATAATTTTTAAGTTTGATCATTTGAATTTTAGTCATTTTAATAATGCACTAATATTTTATTTAATTTTTATTAATAGGTATTTTATAACTTTTTTTTTGCAAGATATTACCAAAATTTTGATTTTAAAATGTTATAATTATTTGTGATCAGCAATTAATTTACTCATTTGTACAAATAAATTAATGAAAAGAAAAAAGAAAGATTTGAAAATTATTATATTTTCAAAAATTAATTGTAAAATTAAGCCTGAGCCACCAACGCCAGTACCAAATGCGCAACGTTATCAATATGATGCGGCAAAGGAAGCGGAGCGAACTGCCTTTCTACAGATGAGAGATGCGGTTTGTTAGTAAAAATTTTTTGCTAATTTTTGAACTGTTATTATTATAATTTGATTATTTTGAAATTTGGATAACTTACAATATTTTTCACTCTTAATAAGAAAAATGAAATTGAGCAAAAGGTTATTATTACTATTATTTATTATCATTATTACCATTAATTATTACGTTACAAATAAAATAATAATTATTTCCTTTAGATAATGATTATGTGAAGTAAATAAAGTGAAAATAATATTTAACTTAGTCAAAGTTTTTTTGAAGTCGAGTATTATTTAACCAATATAATTAAAAAAGTCTTCAATTTAAAAAAAGAAAAAGTAAAGCAACAATAGCTATTTTTTTATGCAAAATTTTTTAGCATTATGAAAATGAATATACATACCTAGAAAAATTGAATCGTGAATTAGGAGAAAATGGAAATATTACTAAACAATCACAAAATGAAAATCAAAATGATTTATCAAATATGCCAAAAATTGAAGGACCAGTTTTAATCGAATTTCATGCTGATTCAGAAACAGATGATGATGACTATTCTATATAATAATACTATTAAAATTTTTAATTTCTTATTTTATTTCGAATAATTTAATTAATTTATTGCACAATGCATGATATTTTTTGCAATTAATTATTATATAAATTTCAAAATGAAAGGAAAATTATATATTTTAAATGATTTGTATAGTATATTATTGATAATTCATCGGTATCATTTATCACTAGTGATTATTTCATTGTTGTTAATGTAAAGTTGATATATAAATCCTAATTTCTTATTACCACTACTTGTTGCTTTCACATAACAAACATTACGACCAATTTCAAAATGTGTCTTTGTACCGTCCTCCAAAAATTCACCCTGAAAATTTCATTCAAAATTTAACTTACATATTTAAAATGCCAAATACTAATTTTTTGATTACTTATACACTTCAATCTTATTTTTATTAATCTTAGATTATCAAATTTTTTGCAATTTTATTAGTGTCAATAAATTTTCATTCGATTTCTAATTTCTCATCTAACTATTTTATAATTTCTTTTATCTACCTCCAATATTAGAGTAAAAATTTTCTTACCGCAGTATTCATTTTTTGACCATTCACCCAAATATCCATTGTTCCTTTATCTAAAAAAAAAGAAAAGAAAATATTATCTTTATTTGGAAAAAATATATTTAAGTATTACTTTATTTATCTTTATTTGGAAAAAATATGCTTAATTATTATTTTATTGTTATTATTTTAAGCTAATTTTTTTTTCTTTTGATATTATAATTATAATAATTAATATCATCATTATTATTATTTTAGGGTGATTTTTAAAAATAACACTATTTTATGCTAAATCTTTTGTGAAATGGCATTTAGTACTTTTTATTTTATGAATATACGCAAGCAAAAGCTATTTCAAACTTTTCATCATTTTGTTAAATTTCTATTATAATTCATTTTTGATTTTGTAAAAATGTTTCAAAATTAGAAATTGAAGTTAGAAAAAAAAGGTATGACAAGCCTAAGCAAATGCGTGTCTCTTGACCATCCAAAATTGTTGTCCAACTTTTTAACTTTTTTGCAACTTCTTCTCGAAATTTTTCATATGATTTACCATTTACTTCCAATGTATATTCATATAAAAATGTTCCCAATGCTTCCACATTAATCACACATTTAAATTTGCCAATATCAAAAATTTCTTTACCAACAAGACTAAACATCCAATTTCTTCTCAAAATTTCCTAAAATATTATTCGATAAATGATATAAAATTTTGAACAAACAGAAAAATACAATGTATTAATTATTACTAACTTAATTTTAAAAATGAAAAAAAAAAAATTTCTCTAATATCATGCAATTAATTTAAACTTTTGATAATTTTCATTAGTGCTAAAATGTTTTATGCTGAAATAAAATCAAATTCAAACAATCTTTTTTTCAGACATATTTCTATTTTAATTAAAAATCAAGCAAACAGAAAAAGAATTTATGAAGTTAAAAACGAAAAAATGAAAAGAAGAAAATTTTTCAGTAAACAAACTTTTCCATCAACTCGTATAACTCGTTTACCACTTGCAGTACCATGCTCAAATTCAATTTCATATATTCGATCATGTACAGGTACCGACCAATGTGCTACAATATCTTGCTTATCTGTCATCCTACCAAAAAAAAAATAAACAAATTATTTTCATTTAAATAAAATTAAACAAACCAAAATAAAAGAAAAAAAAAAGAACAAACAAATAAGAAGAAAGAGGAAGATTCTAAAACAGGTCACGTAAGTGTCCTAATATGCTATAGTCAAATTTAATAATAAACAAGTTAAATTTATTTTATGATATTAGCTGAAAATAAAACGAATAAAATGCAAAATGTGCTAATCATTCTCGTTTTGATGTTTCTATAGCAACGTGAACATTTCATTTCCAACTGGTAACTGAAAGATAAATGTAAAATGCAAATAGCTATAGCAAGTACAGCACATGGAATGAACTGATACTGCTAGCTGGTATCAGCCATTTCCGGATAATCGTATCGATCATTGCTAACTGACGGTATCAGCCATTTCCGGACAATCATATCGATCATTGCTAGAGGACAGTATCAGCCATTTCCAGACAATCATATCGATCATTGCTAGATGACGGTATCAGCCATTTCCAGACAATCATATCGATCATTGCTAGATGACGGTATCAGCCATTTCCGGATAATCATATCGATCATTGCTAGATGACGGTATCAGCCATTTCCGGATAATCATATCGATCATTGCTAGATGACGGTATCAGCCATTTCCGGATAATCATATCGATCATTGCTAACTGACGGTATCAGCCATTTCCGCATAGTCATGTCTATCATTGCTGGGTAACCTTATCAGCCACTGCCAGATAATCACATTGATTATTGCAGGATTATCATATCGATCATTGCTGGATGGCCATATCGATTACTGTTAAGCAATTATTTCAGAAAGCATTCCCATCAGGAATGCAGTGATAAAGTTAGCTAATTTCAGGTAGAATAGTTCGCCTTATAGCCTTTTTGAGATATTTAAGATTCGTTATGATAAAATTATTTTTATTGACTAAATATTAAATTTCCGAACTTTCTTTTACTTTAAATCTAATTTAACATCAAATGAATGAGTTGTTATTTTTGCTTAAATGCAACACTATTTATTATACTCGCAAATCTGTGAATTTATTTTTTTTTTTTTAAAAAATTTACAATTAAACAAGTTAATTTCAATTTAATGAATTTTGATTACATATAACATTTCTGGCACCAAACTATATCATCCTGAAATGTTTACTGAAATGAATGTCCTAATCAAATGTACATTGTCATTATGTCATCATTTTTCATAACTAAAAAATTCATATAACTTTAAGCAATTACATAATTTTTCTCTTAACTTTAACTTTAGCATTATTTTTGAACAAAATTATTGCTACACAATTATACAATTAAATTTAAATTATTGTTATAATTTCTTCATATGGTTATGTAACTTAATTTCAAATTTATTGAAAAAGAAAGAATTCATTTCTTTTTTTGAAATTGCATTGTTTAAAGCATTTTTTTATATATTTGTACAAAAATTAGGTTTTAAAATTTTTTTAAAAAAATGTTAAATCAAAGTTGATCTTTGGTTATTAAGAATAGTAAATAAATAAATTTGCGTATAATATTTGCTAGAAATGCTTTATCTAATGAAAATGTTGAATTAATAAATGTAACTTTTGATTGATTAGAGTTTTAAAAAGTTAATTTATTAAAAATTGTTAAAATTCTGCATCATTATTAACGTTTAAAAATAAATTTATTATCATTAAATTTTACTCTGTTAAAAAAGAAATTAAATATTGATAAAAATTGGAAAACATTTATTTGCCAAATTTGCTTATTGTTTATTGTTTCTTTTTTCTTCAAAAGAATTAACTAATTTTATTGAATTATATTTATTTATGTGTTAAGTGTGTAGTAAAAAAATGATTATTTCAAAAAAAAAAAAAAAAATTAATTTTGCAAATAAAAAATAATAATACAATAAATAAACACTAAAGTAGCATAGAATATAAAATATTCTAGATGGAACATACAAAAAAAATTAGAAATAATAATAAAGGAATGAATAATTATTTGATTTTCTAGACGTAAAAAAATTTCATCCGTTCCGCTACGTTATATTTTTTTTTTTGATGTAAATAATTGATATGATAAGAAGAAATTATCATTTTATAGACGCATTGCTAGCAATAAATTATTTTATTACTTATATTTACTTTCAAAAAAACTTTTTTACTTTTTCTTTTATTAATAATTCGCGAATATTTTTCTTAACAATACTTTAATTTCTGATTCAATTTTTTTAGAAAAAAAAGGAATAAACTAATGCAGATTATTTGACCTTTATCAGACTTAATGATGAATTATTTATTCGATCGCTACTTGTTTCAATGATAGATTTAATTGATTGTTATTTGATTCAGTGGTAGATTGATTGATTTTTTTTTTTTTTTTTTGACCCCAACTGCTAATTTTAATGATGTAAATTTGTCTAAATCATCTAAATTGCAAATTTAAATTACGAAAACCATTCAAAAATGAAAAGGAATAAAGTTGAAATCATCATTTTTATCAATTTTAAAAATCAATATAGTTCATTTCATTTTTTTTTTTTTTTTCAGATTCTTTTTTTAAAAATAGGAAAATAAAGTGCATGAAGTAAGTAATGCTCATTTGTAAAATGTATTATTTCATCTTTCAAAATCTGAACCCACCTTTTTTTTCTCAAGATTTCTATTTTTAATTTTATTGAAAAAATCATTTACTTATCTATTTAACCTTCAATTGATAAATATTACGTTTTGAAAAAACAAAGAAAAAAAAACAATGAAATAAAATAAAATTTAGTATAATTTCAATTGTTGTTTAATATATGCACTGATTACTTTGAAAATACGCATTTCAAATTCATTTAAATCATTATGTCCCAATAATACTTGATCATTCTTCAATCGATCCAATAAAGCAACACAAATTACTGCTGCTAAAAGAATAAAAAATTTAATTATTTTAGCATTTTTTAAATAAAAGAACAATATTCATTGTTCAATAATAAAATTAGTAAAATTTAAAACAAAGTTTAAAAATGTTTTTTTTTTTTAAAAAAAAAGTTATTATATTATTTTAGAGATAAATTATTATTTAATAAAATTTACTTCACCTTTTATATTGGCACGATTAAATAATGCTGCAAAACCTAATGATTCCATTTCTATATTTCGTACACCCAATTTATGCAAATGATTGAGAAATGCAAATTTTTCCTCTTCTGTATACTCACAAAATGCACCATCCATTCTTGTTTGCTCTAAAAATTTTTCCATTTTTTTTTTTTAAATTATTATTTTATTATTTCTAAAATTTTAACAAAAAAAAATTAAATTCGAAAAAAAAAAAAAAAAAAAAATTTAAAATTTTTTTTTTTTTTTGTAAGAAAAAATTTATCCTGTTACAAATATCATTCAAGAAAAAAAGATTTAGTTAGAATAATTTTTTCTGGAAAAAAATTTTTTTTTTTTTTTGGAATTATTTTTTTCATATCAAATTATTAAAATGAGAATAATTGAAATTAAAGAAAAAAAAAAGCTGTAGACATGATATTACCTTCATAAAAATCATTAGCACTTAAGGTTTTTCCAATTTGAACAGGTAGTTGTAATTGATGTGCTACATTATATAATTGATGATACACTTCTGCATCGAAGACACTTGCTCGTAAAATCTGCAATTAATTAATAAAATGTACAATTATTTCAAAATATAATTTATTTATAATTTTTAAAAAGTATAAAAAGAATTTTAATGTAATATATATAAAAACATCAAACCTTTTTACCCATAATACATTGAACATATTTGTCATGTAGTTCACCATTTAATGCTCCATTTGTAAGTACCAATGTACCAGGTGGTACACCAATACCACCTGAGGTACCCAATCGTATTGCCACTACATCTTTTGCATTTGCATAATGGAGTAATTTGATTAGTTCAATGATAACAATACTTGCTGATGGTGCACCAATGCCATGCTATATTTAATATTTTAAATGCAAATATTATTTACATTTTATTAATGACTGCACTTGTTTTTTCTTAATTAGTTTTAAACATAATCGATAAAAAAAAAAAAAAAAAAAAAAAAAAAAAAAAAGAAAAAGAAAACCACAATACATTCTTATTTTTTAGAAATATAATTTTTTTTTTCTAATATTTAAACATATTTTAATTGAAAAACAAATATTTAATAAAATATGAAAACAATTAAATTGTAATTTAACAAATTAATTTTTTTTTAAATATCTTTTTTTATATATTATCTATTCGTTGCTTGCTTGATGGAAAAAAAAGAAATATAAATAAATATAAGTAAAGATATTGTAATAAACAAAAACTAACATTAACCCAAAGTACTTGACCTGTTTTATACATTGAATAACGATCAGTTGTACTTAAATTATCAGACATACTTATACCCAATTCTTTAGCGAACATTTCCGCATAATTCTTCATTCGTTGCATGCTTCCACCCATGCAGAGAAACTGTAAAACTTGCAAGTTTGCATGCAAGTTATTACATGAAATGCTTGCAAGTCTATGTAAAACCATCTACTATCATTTATCAGTACCCACAGTAAATGATTATGTACCCATTTTTACATAATGATAAAAAAAAAGCAAATTGCCTACATTTAAATATCTAAATGATTACAATGACTAAAAATATCTCAGCTGCAAATTTGCAATTTTTTTTTTTAAATGTGTACTTTTTAAAAATATGTCTTAAAGGATAATTTAAGAAGATGAATAAATTAATTAAAAATATTTTTTTAAAAATGTAGGCTGAATACTTTTAATAATTATATAATATGATTTATTTAAGAGTTAAATATTATATTTGATTGATATATATGTCTTATAGATAACATTTAATCAGTAATAGCATTTTGATAAAAAATGAATATTTAAATAAATAAATAAATCTATCGCATATTCAGTTGGACTATGGACGAGTAATTTGACTTATGTAAACTTAAAATGTAAATTAAAATACTTTTAGTAATAATCAATAAATTCAGTATTTCAATTTTTAGTGTTCCCCTTAATTAAGTCTTAATTTCCTCTAATCTTAGTAAATTTATTTGTAATAAAATAAGATAGTTTAGTTTTAAAGACTAAAATTGTATAAGCTCCAAGGTGTATAACCTTAACATCGCCAAACATCTTCGGGAGATCAGTTGAATTTTTCGTAATTCCAAGATGATGAAAATGATCATCGGATTGCTTTTCCAGTGCTGTGTTATGAATATGAACCATTTTGTCATTCATCATTTTCTTTTAATTTTAATTTTTATTTTTTCTTTCTTTAAAACGTTTTTGCAAAAGGTTAGCACTCTAAAATAAAAGATTTTAGCAGAATTATTCATAATTATATAATTAATTTCGTATTTTTTAAAATTATTTACGTTTGTTATATCATTGATAAAAATTAAATAAAATAGCAAAAAATTTAATGATATAATTGAAAACAGTGTTACATTAGCATAACAATAATATTAATATTATCAATAATATCAATTACTCAAATTCAAAAAATTTATTCAAACAATAAAAATGTAATATGTAATCGTTTGAATTCTTATTATTAAAAAATTCAAGGAAATGCTAACTCCATATTTTTATTAGAAATTTTTTTTACATTTTTAACAAAACTATCAAATATTTCTAAAATTTAAAAAGTAACAAAATAGAATATAATAATAAAAATGAAACAAAAAAAAAAAAAGAATTTAAAAAACGAAAAAAAAAATTCTCAAACTATATAGTCTAATATGAATTTAATACCATTTTTATTTTTCTTATTATTACTTCTCTTTTTCTTTTTTTCTTTTGTTTTTTTTTTTTTTTTTTTTTTTTTGTATGTGTTCTTGAAATATTAAAATTTTGCAATAAATAAGAATTAAAAAATGTGCAATGTTTAGAAAACATAAAAATTTTTTGCTGCATAAATCTAAACTAAATTAACTTTCTGTTATAACCAACATTAGTAATTTTTCCTCCTTTTTTTTAAACATTCAACTTATCCTAGCAAAAATAAAACAATAAAAAAAAAAAAAAGTGTAGAAGAGAAAAATATTTTACAAGACTAATCGAAATATAAAAACGTAAAAAATTTTCACTTACTCATCATCATTAAACAAAATATTATTAAATTATGATTCATAAACAGTAATATATTTTCTATTTGATATATTCACAAAACAAAATATTCCATTTCACTAGATAATACTTCTTCATTTGTTTGTTATTCATTTATTTATTTGTTTAGCAACAGTAATATTTTTTTTTTTTGTTTAAATAATACCTATCCTATCTTCTTTCCCTAAATTTAAAACTTATACTGCTAACTAATATTGTGTGTTTTGTTGATAACATTCACCTATTTATATTTTTTCAGATAAACAGATTATACTATACTACATTTAACTGTAACAACAAAAAAAAAAAAATTAAAGTAGAAAAAAAAAAATTAAGAAAAAAATTTAACAAACAGGTTATTACAGTGATTAAGAATTCACTTATCTTTTGTCTTTTTTTTTTTTTCTTCGTCTTCTTTTTTTTTTTTTTTTTTTTTAAATAGATGAACAAATGAGCTATCATTGAAATTAATTTCAATGGTACAGTTGATAGATATGAAATATTTTTTTTTTAAAAAAAAAAAAACTGAAAGTTAAATATGTATGCTGTAAAGAAATCTTTCCTCTTCATTTTGTTACAAATTTTAAATTTCTACTACAAAAGTTAAATTAATCTCTGTATGAACGAGTAAATGCACTAAGAATACTTTTTTCTTCTTTGTTACAACATTATGAGAAATACTATTAATAATTTTTTTACTCAACAAATTTATCACAATGACTAATTTACTTATCAGATTAAGTGATAAGAGAAGAATTTATCAGATTAAATGATAAGAGAAGAATAAATGATACTAGAGGATGAAAATTTCTACGAGAAGCTATGTCTTTTAATTGAAATATCGATGAAATTGTTCTGGACATTTAGACATTTTGTTGATTCTCCCGCTTCTTTTTTTTCTCTTCCTTTATTGACCTTTCAAAGATTCACAGTCATTTTTTGCAGGTCAACATTCCTCTTGTTTATGAGTGGTTAACTCATGATCGATATTATTTTGACGATGAAAACTATCATTCAACTTGTTTGTCATCATTCTTTTGTATTTTATTGCTATACTTTTGATAAAATCTTAATAGACAAATAATTTGAGGGAAAAACGATGGCTTTCAATAAATGGAAACAATTATTTCTTAGAGTCAAAATTCATATGGATTATTCCACACTGATAAATAGACAAAATCCATTATTAAATTCAATCTGTCGTTTGGCTAACAAGCAAAAACTGCCATTAATGATAAATCTTTAATCTTCTAACTCCTTCCCTTCTCTAAGGTTAAAGAAAAAAAAAAGAAAGAGACACCTACAGCTTTGCTAGAGCATATCAAAAGTCAGACCTTTCTGTACTGAAAGAAAAAGAATAAACCGTAAAAGTTTTATAAGTAAAGAAGTGAAAAGTCATTCATTAGATATCAACACAGTACATTTAATATTAATATCAATCACACAACTATGAATTCGTACAAAATATTGAAATTGTATACAAACCGTTAAACCAATATATTTCGTACCTGAATTACAAACTTCAAACACAACGTATGTCAAAATTTTAACTGATAACTCATGATGTAATACTAGAAAGGAGATGCGGGTTAATAGTTGTAATAAAATAACTGATGATAGCTAATGTGAATGCTTACATCTGAGAAATGTGATTAAAATGAGATTAAATTTTTCTTTCCTCAATTATTCATAGTTAGTGAAAAGAAATATGAAACCATACAAAACTAGATAGATTACAGGGGTAATTCATCACGGTCTAAAATTTTGTACATAAAGCAAAAAGATTTAGGTGAAGAGAATTTCGAGGCATGAAACAATAACAACCGAATATAATACAGAGAGATATCTTCAAAAATTTCAAATCCATTATTATCACAACTAGAAGTGTCAACCCGTTAAGGCTAAAAAAAAAAAAAAGTTAATATTTATAAATAAAACGCTTCGACTATGAGCTTAATGCACAAGCAAACAAATGAAGCCAATGAAAGAATGAAAGACACTGGCAATATTCGATAGATACCACTATGATAAAGCCTGATAGAATTATTCGTAAATGATAAGAAAGAAAACACACAGAATCAAAATCTGTACAAAATGTGAATTCCATAAGTTATCATTCTGTGCATTCGTTCTTGAAATTAAGCATATTCTGAATTAGTTTTAATAATGCTGTTTATGTGAATTGCTAGCTTATTGTTCGTTTGACCTGAAAAGCACAATAAATGATCACTTCTATGCGGCAAATTATTGCATGTTGCACAAGCTCTCTACAACCAAATTTCATGTATTCAATATTGAGTTTAAATCAGCTGCAGATGATGTCCTTGAACATTTTAGTGGAATACTGGAACGTATTGTCTCTTTTTCTTCAGATGGCTGAAAAACAGAAACTTTTTAATCACTAATATTCTTTAATTTGGCAATAAGTAAAAGAAGGAAGCAAAAAAGTCAAAAACCTGTTTTTTCTTTTTAAAAAATTGCTTTACCGAAAAAAATAATCTTACCCGACTCATCAATCTTTATGAAAAATTAATTTTCCTCCACATTTCGTAATGAAAACGTCTCTCTAGTGTTGGCCTTGTTTTAAAAATTTTATATTCATGTTATGAATATAAATATTTCACGTTTCTCCTATATTTCTCCCATATTTCACATTTCCTAACCTACTTTGCATGTAATGTCATCAGAAATGTTTGCATCAGTCACAGCACATAAGATATCCAATAGGATGATAGAACTTAAAGGTAGACCTATATATAAGTTATTTGGAGTTGATCATGGATTCACTGCTTAGAGAACAAAACAGTTTATTAAATTCAGAAATCGATTTTGTTTTAAAAAAAATTGCAATCACTCAAATTCACGAATTTTGTTTCAAAATTTTCCTTGATTTAGCAGGAGTAAATATTCTGTCACCAGTTCCATAAATTGTTATTTTGGATGCCTGGAATTTCATGCATTCTAATACTGAAATGAAAAAAGCGCTTCCTCTCAGTTTGTTCTTCCATATTTTACGCCATCAACATATTTTTGCATAATAAATATTGTGGCCTTTTTGTTTTGCCAGACTACCAATGAAAAGGTGAAATTTCTATTAACTTTACACAAACATCTGAAGTTTTTTTTGACACTAACCTGAACCGGAAGAGAGTGAGGTGTTATTAAGGATTCTTTCTCCAGGAATCGAACAAATTGCTCTGCCAAAGAAATATTCTGCTGAGGGAGCTTCGATGAACCACCAAAACCAAACCACCCCCTCGACGAGGAATGATTAGCAGCGTTAATTTTGGCAATTTCCTGAAAACAAAAGAAAAAAAGGTCAAAAAATATAGTAAAGAAGTCAACACAGTAAGAATTGGATTTCAAAAAATAGTCTAGCGATCATATTTCTCATTCTAGTCGCTTTTTCATCAGCCAAATTTAAAATTGCCAACATATTCCTCTTTCATATTCAGATAGAATAGGTAGCTAAATTATTCCAAAAAATTACCTCTTGTGAATAACCTAGAACAGAAGCCAACAAGACAGCAATCTCTGGTTGTTTGTCTTTATCAGCAGTAAAATAAGACATAAACAGTTGACGAAGCACTTGATCATCAATAGTATACGATGATACTGAAGCTACTGCTACTTGTGCATGTTCCTCAAGACTTGCTTCAAGTTCCTCAATCATCTACAAAAAGATAATAGCTAGATTTACAAGGGCATTTTATCATTATAAAGGTCCAAATTTTTGCTAAATTTTAATGCAATAAATACAATCCAACATACCGCATTTTTTTTAATAATTTCTTCTTTGAGATACACAGTTCTATTTTCCAACAGTTGTTTTTCAGCTTCAATAGTTTCCTGTGTGCGTTTAAATTGAACTATCTCCAGATTTAAATTCTGGAATAAAAACAATTGAGAAAATGAACGTTCAACAGAGGGAAAAATTTTTGCTTCTCAAAGGGAAATTTATAACAGTAAACATTGTACAAAACAACTAGAATGAGAAATAAGAAATTGGAGTTTTATTCAACAAGAAAATACATACCTCCATACTTTTTTTCAATTCAGCAATAGTATTTTCGTATTGCAACACCTGCGCTTCATGATCTACACCGATATCACGCAAAACATTTTGTAAATTTGAGAGTGCTACTTTCGTATCAGCTAATGTTTTCTCGCGCTCTCGTAACCTATCGACAATGGATATTTTCTCATTCCTCATCAAATCCAACTCATCGGTCAGTTCGGTAATTTGTCGCTGTAAAATCTCGCAATATATATATATATATAGAACACAAATTTGTTAACTAGAAGTCACACAAAACCTCTTGTAACGAAAGCTTCCGGTCACTTTCTCTGAAGAAAAGACTACGCAGACAACTGCACAGAGAAGCCATCGTTTCTAAAATGAAAATATAAAATTCTGTTTGCTACACCACATCATATTTTTTATATATTTAAATTTTTGTACTTTCTGCTTCCGTTGTTGAGTCAAAAAACGTTATTTTCAATAAAAACGAAATTACGCCAATCTAATTTTTAGTTCGTATACGTAGAATTAATTGACAGAGATACAGTTACCTCATAAGCATTAGCAGATTCTATAACACTATCTGCTGATTCTTCTGTTTTCTGTTCGAGTATTCTGATTCGTTGTCTCAATTCAGTTTCTCGTTCTTCTCCAGCTAGGGCTTCCTTAGTCGATGTTTCTTCCATAACCAATAAATGATTACGTAGTCGTTCACATTCTCTTAACGCTTTGTCCCGTGTCTCCATGCAACTTAAAATTACCAAAATTAGAAAAAATCAACAAAAAATTTTCGGAAAACTTTATTAATAATGATAATGAATATAACTGCATCGTAAAATTCATCTTTTGAGTTAATCGCACTTTTTCAATTCGTTTTTCAGGATAGATAAATTATCGGTGTATGTTGCAAAAGTGGCGCTTTGACTTTTTTTTTCAGCGAGTGCAGCCTGCAACTGTGTATGGTATTTAAGACTTTCGTTATGCTTCTGTTCTACGAGTGCAATTAATTCAATTCGAAGTTTTTCAGCTTCTGTCACTTGCACCGATGTCTGAAAAAAGTGCAAAGATAATCATAACAAAAATTAAAAAACAAATGAAAATTCAGAGTTTGAACAGAAATTTTTTTCCTCTTGCCTTTTCTATAACCTTACCTAAAAAAAAAAAATAGTCCCCATTAAAGCAAATAAAAAAAGTTGATTCATGACAGGTGTTATTCAGCGACAGAATAAATAAAAATTCAATTATAGGCATGTATTTCCAAAGAAACAGCACTAGTTCAGGGCAGTAAGTAATGCGAATACAATATATCATGAATATAAAATGCTTAAAAAAATTTTGTTAAAAAAAACCTCATCCAGTTTATGCTGTAGTTCACTGTTTGTTTTCTCTAACTCATTTCGCTTTTGCACTGCTTCCATCAGTTCTGTCTTCAAACGCAAAAACTTTTCTTCTGCTTCCTGAAATTATTAAGCATCACCAAATATATGTAACAGATATATGTGAACTTTTGAATGGTATGTAAACTAACAGGTTCGTATCTTTCTTCAGCTTTGTTTTGTTGCTGCAGCTGCTTTATCTCATCTTGAGCTGCTTTCAACTGAAACAAAGTAATCAGATCACTTACTATAAAGGTAAAACGAAAATTATGTCCTTACTTTATTCGTCAATTCCTCAAGGTCATTTCTGTGTTCTGCTTTAGTATTACGCAAAGTCTCTTCATGGATGGCATTCTGATTTCTCATTTTCTGTTCATATTCATTTACCATTTGTTGTACCAAATCGACTTGCTTGACAATTACTAATTCTTCCCCCTTAAAAAATCAAGAATTTGTTTTAATCATTACTGAAAATATTATTAATACAAGAGCCAAACTGTAGCACCATCAATCAACATCAATCATATTTACAATACAGGGAAGATGAAACTTTTAAAGGGATCTAATAATGGAAATTGGATATAGTTTGAAAACAAATCTGACTATTAAAATCTACACAGTGCGATTATATTTTTTTCACTCACCTTAACTGCATCTAACTGCTGCTGCTTTTGCACTTCGTCCAATTTTTCTTTTGTATGAACAAGACTTCGTTCCAATTCTAGTTTGTCCCGTTCTAGTTCATTTGCCTAAAATTAACCTAAATAACATTTAATTCTTATTATATATGGACTTTAAGATTTAAAAAAGAATAAAAACAAACCCAACTACGAAGTTCAGCAAAAGTTTCTGCATGTGTAGTTTGTTGAGACTGTAGAACGTTCAGCTGTACCATTAACTCATCGATACGTGTTTGCCGTAGATCCAGCTGTAAAATTCCAATTTGCAGATAAATGGAACAAAGTTTAAATAAGATCACAAGTAATTTTAATTCAAAATGACTTAAAAAATCAAATTTATTAGATGGATTCCTCTCAACAAAGCCATGAATCTTTTTCCACAACTAACAGAACCAACTTCTTTATTGAGCTCATGTTTTTGTCGGCGCAATTCCTCACATTCTTCTGTTTTTTCCGTCACAACTGCTAGAGCTTCACGCAATTCATTCATAACTGTACAATTATTTGCTAATGATGATCCATTTGTTGACGCTATCGCATCCCAATCTGCCATCTAATATGCACGATTAAAATTCAGTTTTTTGTTCTTCATACTTTTTATACCAAAAGTTCATCCTTATTCACTTAGTCATTCAATGATTAAACAAATTTATTAAACCGGTAAGATTTTTTACTGCCCAAAAACGAGTGAAAAACGTAACAAAATTTCTGTAATTAATTTTATTTCTTCAAAAAGTGTTTTGATAACCACTAATTAACATCAAGTAAAATCATGAATCATGTAACTCTTTTTTGATAAAAACTTTATTGAGAATGTATAGGGCAACTAAATTAAAGTTAAAAATAATCAAAGAATCCAGAATAAAAACAAGCACCTTTTCCCATCCGTTATTTGAGTCCACAGTACCTTCGCTACTTGTTGTAACTTTGCCTTCGTCATTTTTTAACTCAACAATTTCGGCAGATAAAGCAATATCAGACGAACGTGATTGCTGCATTGCTGTTTCCCGTTGGTATGCCTCCAGTCGACGTTTGGCATCATCGCGCGCTTCGCATAATTCTAACTGCTGTTCTCGCCATTGTTTTTCCTGAAGATATTATTTTCCTAAACAAAATTCTTTTTTAAAACATCCTGTAATTTCATAGATCTACCTTATATTTAAATTATTGTAATAACATATTTTGAACAGAAACCTTCAATTCATACTCGTTTTGAAGCTGGATGAATTTCTCGCGGAGATTTTTTAATTCACTGTTACTGTTTTCTAGCATATTTTGAATTTCAGAAAATTTATCTAGACTATCGCCCATTGCTTTATTCTCTTGGATTAATCTGTCATTTGATTCCCTGTAAAAATTTCAAAAAGTAATTACGAGTAGCAGAAAAAGAAATGCCAAAATAACGAAATCAAATCACTGGAGAAACAAAGCAGAATCCGATAAATCAGGTCACCTCAATCTGGTTAGCTCTTTATCAATAATAGCGATGGCCGAACGAAAGCGTTCAACTTCAGTGCGTAACTTTTCACCATCATCTTTAGAGGCATCCAGTTCTGTACGAAGTCTTTCAACTTCATCCTGAATTATTTCACAAAGTATCCAGTGAATTACTTATCAGTAATAGCATCTACGAAAAACAAATCAGAATTTTCAAACAAATATTCTTGAGAACTGAAAATTACTATGCAAAAAGCAAACCGAGACTGAAATAAGATCGAAATGAAATTTTAAGTCAACAATGATAAGAGTAATGAAGTTTTTTATTAGTTGGAAACCAACTGAAAGTAAAAATCAACATACCACAGTATCCGAAGTATTTTTTGTTTTTGGACTTTCAAATGATAGACGTAATCGTTCAAAATCATTCGAAAGTCTTTGAAGCTGTCGAATAGTCTCATCATTTTCATTTTTACACATCTCATAACGCTCTTCATATTCAATGAGACTCGCTCTCAAGCAATCTGCATAAATTTGAAATCTAGATGAAGTTAGAAGGTTTCAGAAAACACAATATACTTATTATAACATATACATTATTTTCAGGCTTCAAGATCTCTACCTCAATCCTAAAAGATGGTTCACACATCTTATATAAATTAAATAATCGGATCCGCTACGTCTTATATAATCAGATCTGTTAAAATATCTAAATTTGTACTATAGATTAAATCTAGTTAGATCACCTTGTTCCTAGGTTCGTTAATAAATCACGTTCTAACTTACTGACTAACTAGCCCAATCTATAACACAAAGCAATATATCTCGCCATACAGCTCATAAGTTTTAGAAAATGAATCTGTTCATGCATTAATATTAAGACCAGATGTAAACAGAAAGGAATTCAAGGAATTTCTAAAAAATTTAGTTCATTAGTACGAAGTAGTTTTGCAATTTGAATCTTAAGTGGATTAAAGAAAATTGTAGAAGAAAATCAAAACAAACCGATACGAGCAGTCAAATCCCGATTTGAACTAACGACAGAACCATGTTTTGCTTTGTGATTTTCAAAGTCTTCATTCAAATCGTTATAAGCTGCTGCAAGTTCGTCATTTTCTCGCCTGAAATGTTACTCCTTTTTCCTAAAAAGAATATAATTTTGATGTTGATGGTTCAAAAGCAGACCTCGTCAAGCAAAACTATAAAAAGGAGTGTCCTTATAGACCAAGAAATTTTCATAGCAATCAACCTGAGCTTTTCTAATTCTCGATCTAATTCTGCTTGATCTTTTGATGTGCTCTCCGAAACTTCGGCTCCCATCACTTCGTCGAGCTTTTCAATGTTTTCTACCGTCTTTGATTCCTCACTGTTTTTGTTTTCTTCATAAGAATTCAACAGTAATTGTAAATTCGCCACTTCATTTTGTAGTTCTTCAATTTCTGCTCTAAGAAAAATTACATTAGTTAAAACATTATGCAACTAGCTGAACTACAAGATGTCTTCCTAATCTGTAAGTTTAATTTTACCTGCTCTGTTCTCTCTCGCCACTAATTTCATTTTCAAACTTTTCACGCTGCGTATCAACGAGATGGTGCACTTCTCTCACTTCAGTTTGCAACTGAGAAATATAAGAACTACAAAAAGAGATTATGAAATTAGTGAACTATTTTCACAAAATTGCAATGTTAAATGTCAAAAATCAATTGCAGTAAAAAACTTTACCTGACTACAAAACGCACCAATACAACTCAATAATAATTATACTAGCTATCTAGCAAAATTCTTTTAATCGAAGAGAATAATAATTATACTAACAATCTAGCAAAATCCTTTTAATGGAAGAGAATTCCAGGGCACTAAAATTGAAATAAGCTTTGACATTATATCATCACCAACAAATTCGTTTTTACTGCTATATCTAACTAAAAAAAATACTAACCTTTTTTCAATAATTTCTCCCTGCGCTGCGTGCAATTGCTTCTCCAAGCTTTCACGTTGTTGTTCTAATTCATTTAACCGTTCACTAAGCACTATATCAACTGCTTGAAATGTCAACTTGTCTACCTGATCCTCTTGTATTTCATTTTCTTCTTCAATGGACTTGATCTGCAGCTTCCTTTCATTTCTTCTTGATTGACAAACAAAGACAACATAACCACTAGTGTAATTCATCACAGATTTTCGTCGAAAATCTTGTAAAGTGCTTCGAAATTTAAAGAATCAACACTGGTAAATGACTGCCCAATAAAAATGAATTAAAAATATCAAACCACTGAAGATCTTACTTTTGCCAACAATAGATCTCGTTCTTCTGTCAACAAATGTATTTGTTCTTTCCAGGTATCATTCTCCGAAATATATTGTTCAGTGTAGCATCCGGAACTTTCGTCTTTTTTATTGGGATTCTAGAACTTTATTGCAAATTCAGTATTGGTCTTAAAAATAAATAAATTCACATGTTTCTGATTTATTATATAAAGCTATCAGTGTCTAATTATGTCTTTTATAAAGAACGAGTTTGAAAAAAAAAATTTCATTTTTAAAATTTCCTTATAAAATTTCCATTATTCAACGATAAATTTCGGCACGCTTAACTGACGAAATAGCAGAAAACGTTTGGTATTCCGATTCATAAATTTGTGCATGAATAGTTAGATTGATAAATATAACGAATTTGAAAATATCATAGAACAAAAAGTCAGAATACAATAACTAAATTGAGCCATCGTATCATAATGATATCAAAATGTTCAAAACAATATCAAATTGATTATAAACTAAATATTCACGATAAAAAAGACTTCTAAGTATAATAACCCTGTCTTCTTGATTCAGAGACTTCAGCTCAGCAACCGTTTCATTATGAGCCATAATTAATGCCGCAACTTCATTTTCAAACTTCGTTTTTTGTTCAGCCAAAATACGTTCCAATTCTGACACCTATAAAGATAAGAACCTCAAGTAATTTTCTTAAATTGTCATATAAAATAGCAAAGATACCAGAGTAGAAATCCATCCCTAACAATACTTAATAATGCAATAGTTTTGTAATAATTAAATCATAGTTCTAAATTTAAGAATAATTCAGACACTGAACAAGGAAACCTTCAGAGCTTCACTTTTTTCTGATTGCTCGTTAACAAGACGCTTCCAGTGAGCGGCTTCCTTACGAAGCTGATCGATTTCATCCCTCATGCGTGCAACACGAGCATTATTAGCTGGGAAAAACCCGTCCTCATCTCCATCACTTAATGATTCTTGAACTACATGATGTGTTCTTTCTAATTCTGCCTGCAGTTTAATTTTTCATAAAAAAGGGAAAAACCCTATAAAAATGACATTTTTGCTATAAAATGTACACTTTAAAAGTAATATTGTAAAAACGATTACTTCAGAAATAAAACCTTAATTAAGATAGCTCTTTCAACCAATGAAACGTTAAATTTCAAATAAAAATACAGTATTCAAAAATATTCAAGTGAGACTTGAAAAAAGAATACAGGATGATACTAAATTTGATAAAAAAAGCGATGCTGACACAAAAATCATACCTGTAACGCACGGATCTGAGTGTCGCGACTTTCAATCACACTAGTGTATTTGCCATTTATATTATCTAATTCGAGATTTTTCGCATAAAGCTCTTCCTCGAGATTATCAATTTTCTTTTTTAACCTTTGCACGTTCTCTTTTTCAGTACTAAGTTCTTTCTCTGTTTCCAAGAGTTTTTTTCTGGCAACCTTAAAGCAGCATTGAAATGAACATTGAAATCTAGAAGACTTGCTTAAAAAGCAGCGATAATAATAAATAAATGAATAAACAATAATAATAAACAAATAAATAAGTAAAATAATAAAAAAATAAATAACAATGACAATGAATAATAATAATGCTAATAATTATAATAAATAAACAATAATAACACAAATAATTAATAATAATGACAACAACAATAATGAATAATAATAATAATATGATGCTGATAAATATGAAAATTCAAATAACAGCAATAATTAAAGAGCAACTAATCTCACCAAAAAAATTTTTTTTTCCAAAAAATATTGTAAAATGTACGATGGCTTTCATATTAATAATAAATAATAATAATATTAATAATCAAATAATAAACAAACAATAAGAATAATATTAGTAAGAAACAAACTGCTAGAAAAAAAAAAAAAAAACATTTAAAAAAGGAAAAATATAAAATATTAGATAGATTTTTTGGCTAATACATATAGCAGAAATTATTACAATACCTGCAATTCACTTTCCGGATCAGACACCTCTTCCGTAGCCTCATTTAGTACTTCAGATGCAAATTCTGACAATTGTCCCTGAATATTGCGTAGCCAAGAGCCCATCATTTACTCATTTTCTCTTCTTAATGACACAAACTTGAATTTAATCCCTGAAAAATGTACCACATGACACGTACTTACTCACTTACTTACTTACTGACAAGTACTTACTTATTTTCTCACTGCATTGGGAAAAATCCGAGCAGAGAAGGAAACTACCGAGAACACCAGTCGAGAGTACAGATTATCACTTCAAGACCAGTTTTGCTTAATTAAGCTCTCAATTAATCACAAAATTATTTTTGCATTTAATCCTTTCCTCTCTGCTCATACAAGCAAATTCATTGTCTTCTTTTTCTCTTTTTTCATCTTTTCTTTTCGTACTTTTTCTTTCTTTTTTGTTTTTGTTTTTTTTAGGGAAAAAAAATTTGAGAAAAAAAATCTTTGATCTTTTTTTTGTTTCACAAAAAGTTATGCTTAAAAATGCGGGAAAGGATATAAAAAAGCATAAATTATTAGTCAGAAATAAATATCAATATTATTGCAAATTGAAAATCAATCCAATTCCTTGTTTTTCCAATTAAATTTTTATCTCTTTTTGAACTAAATTTTATTTGTACTACTAATCGATTCAGAGTTTCTGATAAATTCCATATATTATTATGCTTAATTCTTATCATAATTCTTGTCATACATTAATTTTTTTAAATTTTTTTTTGCATTTTCAAAATAATCGCAGAATTCGTTTCAAAAATATGCAAACTGTTAGAATTATTCCAGGAACAATAATTTATGGTTATCTAACAAACAATGTTATGGTTAAAATGCTAATAAGTTTTGTTTCATTTTTCAACATAGTTTTAATTAAAGTAAATGATAAAGTGTTATGTCAGAAAGTATTAGTGAAACTAAGAAAATGAAATTTCCGTTGTACGATTTATCAGCGAAATGATAATTCGAAATCGAAATTAAAATCAATTTTTTCTTTCTATTACAAATTTTCTAATTTAAATATTGCTACGAGATAATGTGATTCTTTGTGTATCAGTAATAAAAATCTATCGATTAAACGATTCTCCAATAACCAAACCAACATCACTTATTGACGTCATCAATTTTTAAAGAATAGAAAATGCCTTTGTTAAAAGTATTTTGCAAAAATTTTTTATGTATAATTAAAAGATGAGATTTTGTTAGGAATAATATTTTTTCGAAAATTTTCACTAATTTAAATGACACATTTATAAAATTTAATATGATTAAAAAAATTTTCACTAACTTTTCACTTTACTTATAAATTGGAATAAACTGTAATAAAGTATTTGAAAATAAAGTGATCGAATTAATTGACGCAGTATTTTTAATGTTTACAAGATTTTTGCTTTTTTTTTTTTTTAATCAGTTAATTTGTTATTAGTTGAAAATATGCTTATCATATCAACAGTAGCATCAGTATTCATTGCTTTTTGGTCTTTTATAATTTGTACTGTAAATTTGGCCGATGGTGATCGTCTTCCACAACGTTATGTAATAAATTTGGATTTGGCTCCAGAAAATCGTTGGGATAGAATTATCGATGATCATAAAAAATTTATTCCGACAATTATTGAGGAAATCAAGTAATTACTATAAAAGTTTATGAAATTTGAAAGATTTTACAAATGGATATTTAAAACGATAATTACTTTCTTTTTTCTTTTGAGCAACTAATTTAGCAATTAACAAAAATTAGGAAACTTTTTTTTCTCTTATTTCTTAATAATAATTTATACAATTTTAGCCACTATGTGCCAAAGTTGCTACGTCCAATTGTATGGTGGATTGATGAAAATATTTTGCTCAAAAATTTCCCAAACGAATATACCCAAGAAATACGCGGTTCTCTCTTATTTCGAACTTATTATATGTGGAATATAAGATTGTTATGATAAAAGTAGCATCTATTTATATAAAACAAAAACAAAAACAAAAAAAAAAAAATGAACAAGCAACTTTTACAATTTGAAAATTATATATGTAAGGTACTCTTTTTTTTTTGGTTAAATGAAGAAAGCTATCAATTTATTTTTAGGCATTGCAAAACGAAGTGGCCTTAGTATTGGTGAAATAGTTGGTATAAACATTCTGTACGACATTTCCGCTTTTAATCGTAAACAGTTTAGTGTTAATTGTGTAAATTGTTAATTATATATTTCAATATTGCAATAGTTTTTAATTTTGGATTTTCCAAAGTGTTTTTTTTTTTTTAATTCTTTATAATTGTTAAATTACTCTAAAATCTTTCACATTATTTTACTTTAATGAAATACGATTAGGCCAAATTCTAAATTGAAACAAAATATATTTTAGCATATTAGCAAATATTGGTTGTACGTCTATTGTTGCACAAGATTATAGAGGGCGAATAATTCATGGCAGAAATTTGGACTATTTAATGACATCACTTCTTCGAAATTTAACAATTATTGTTGACTTCACGAGAGGAGGAAATGTAATATTACATTTATATATATATATATATATTTTTTTCAATTCAATTTAAACTTTTTTCTTTTTGGTACTCTAAGAAAAAAATTCATCTAAAAATATTATTTTGAGATTATTTTTAGGATAATTAATCATTTGAAATTAACTAAATGTGCAATGTTTGGAGAAAAGTAGAAAATATATTTAGGTACTTTATACTGCAGTAACTTTTGCATTAAGTGTTGGCATATATACTGGACAAAGGCATGGCTCATTCTCGATCAGTGTTAATGAGCGCTGTTAGTTAATTAATTAAATTATTATTTAAATTTTATACTCTCTAGTATTACTTTAATTATCTTTTTTTTTTTGCAATTTTTAAATTTTACAAATTTTTGAAAAAAATTTTTTTTTCTACAGATTCTGGAGCTTACATTGATACAATTTTAATGGAATTTTATACGCATTTTACAAAGCTAGTAACATTTACTGTTCGAATGGTATACATAAAGTTTGAATATTTATTAGCAAATATGAATGATATCATGGAATTTAAGAAATTCCGATCAGTTTAAATCAAATTTGTGAATTTTAATGTTAAAATTTAAATCTAAATTTAAAATTTTAATGTTATAAGTTAGCAGAAATTGATAGAATATCGTAATTTAATCAATGATATTAATTCTTATATGCAATAGGCACTTGAAAAGAAAAGTACATTTGAAGAAGCACGTGAAATGCTAATGAAAGAACATTTTATTGCTCCATCATATTTGATTATAGCTGGTACTGAAGTAGGACAAGCTTGCATCATAACAAGGTTTCATCATCATTTTATGCTAATTTTATTTCAAATCATATTTCATTTACTTTTTTCTTTTTGTTTTAATTCATTTACTTTTATCATCCTTTTAAAAATTTCTTCCTTTAGAGATCGTTGGAAGGCTGCAGATCTGAAATGTATTGATTCACAAAGTGATCATTGGTTTTTGGTGGAAACTAATTTTGATCATTGGAAAGTCGATAAGGATAAACGTCGGTTTGTTCTAAATAATAAATTACATTTAAAGATTTGAAAGAAAAGAAGAAAAAATCAAAGTAAATATTAAATGAAGTGCTATTATGCATTTACAAATAAATCTTAGTAACATTTAAAACTTTTCAAGAAATAACAATAATAACAAAATTGTTAATTTCTTTTTCTTTTTTTTTTTTTTTTTTTTTAGGAGAATAGCAGAAAAAGCCCTTCGGCAAATTGGCAAACATTTTCTATCATATGGGGAAATGCTTCAAATTCTTTCGCTTTATCCAATTAAAAATAAGTGAATTTTTTTTCTTTTTTTTTTTTTTTAATAACAAGAAGAAAGGTTTTTTCCGAGATAGAAAAAAAAAAAAAAAAAAAAAAAAAACGTATTTTTGTTCGATAATAAAAAAGAAACGATGATTTGTTTTTTATTTAAAAAAAAAAAAATTGAATAATGATATTTTTATTTTTCTGAAAAAGCGATTTTTTTTTTAAAAAAAAAAAATTGTGCCATGAAAAGTTTTTTAGTTTTTTCTACTATTTATGTTATAAAGTAGACTTTTTCTTTTTTTTCCTTTTTAGCCAAATAGTAATTAGTTTTAACCAAATAATAATTAAATAAGTTTATTATTCCCTAAAATGATTTATTCATTTACAATGATTATACTTTTTTTATGGTGATAACTACTTTAACAATATATTGTAATCATTGATGAGATAAGTAAAATTCAAAAATGACTTCTATGATACAATTATTATTTTTAAATAAAGATTGAAAACCTTAACGGTTCATTTTATTATCATATTTCATTTTTAAAATTTAATCATGATTAAATGATAAGAAAAAAAAATTCTTTAAACTAAAATATCATATGTTACAGCAATACAGTTTTTTCAACAGTGATGTCACCATTGGATGAGAATGTTTTGTATGGTTATACTATTGTTTGGGAATAAAATATCACTGATAATACTTTCCCACATTTATTGCTACTTCTTCTTATAAATTCATCGTTTATTTCTTCCATAATATTTTCTATTAATTTTTTATTAGCAACATTTCATCTTTTATATTGTTTTATATTGATTATTGTAAAAGTTTGTCTTTTTTTAATCAGTAAACGAAAGATTGAAATATTTAAGAAATATCTGTGAGTTATTAATTGAGTTCTATTGTGTTTACATTGCCATTTCCGCATGTTTCAGCAATACAATAAACAATATTATGAATGGAAATAGAAAACTTTCTTTTTCTTTTTTTAATCTGATTGTAATAGTATTAGCATATTTGATAAAATAACTTATAGTAAATAATTTGCATAATCATTTTGATGATGACGATTTTTTCATTTAGACAATAAAATCTTTTCTTTTGTGCCATAATAGAACTTAAACATTTAAAAACTATGAATGTATAAATGTATAATTTAAATTAATGAATCTATGAAAATTATTGATTCATTAAATAAGTAAGAAATGTGTGGAATTAAATTGGCAACATGAGAAAGAAACTGTTTATTTTATAGCAAAAACATTTCAATTTTATTAGTGATGATTGTTTTTTTATTTATAAAACTTTTGCACTGTTCCAATTTTACATTAACTTATAATTATCATTGAAGAAAGTAGTAATGAAGGAAGAACAAAGAGTGATTTCAAATTGAATAAAAAGGAAATTATTTGTGGATATTGGTCATTTAATTAAACTATATCATCGCTATTAGCAGATTAATTAAACCCCTTTCCAAATACTCTCCAATAATCTCAGACAACTGTTGAAATCCCTTTTATTATAATGTATTAAGCAGAATAGAATGAAACAATTAAAAAAAAAAATTAACATTTTTTTTATATTTAACTATTTGGTAGTAGTTATCACTTAATTTACTAATTAATTAACATCATAAAAATTTTTTTTTTTCATACCTAATTTACAATTCTGTTAATTTATTCATTATTGGAATATTTTATCATTAAAAAAAAAAAACAAAAAATGCTTAACAGTTATAATGAAATTTGTTATAATACAGTAAGAAGAGAGGGAATAAAACGAATAAAAATGTTTGAAAATATATTACCGTGAAGTGAAAAGATTATGCTAAATAGAACAAAAATGAATTAATTAATATTATTCCATAAAAATAAAATTATCAGCTAAAAGATTAATTGATAAGGTTATCATCTTAACTTTATTGATAATATCAGTGAATTGGTTTACGATCGATGTGAGTGACCGACCAGAAGTACAACATATGCAAGCAACAGCTGCATTAAAGCATTTATTTCCCTGGTTTAGATAGCATCTCACCCTTTATATGTAGATAGATGTGTATGTCTGTGTATGTGTGTGTATGTGTATGCGTGTATGTATGTATGTGGTGTATATGTACATGTCTGTGTGCTTATATGATTTTGTTATGCTTACTTGATTAGCATTCGAAATGCTTACTTGATTAGCATTCGCTATTTATAATATTTTTTCAACTCTATCATTCATCTATTTCTTCATGCAATATTATTATTATTATTATTATTATTATTATTATTATTATTATTTATTATTATTGTTATTTATTATTATTATTATTATTATTATTATTATTATTATTATTATTATTATTATTATTATTATTATTATTATTATTATTATTATTACTATTATTATTATTTACTGTTATTAGTACTCTTATTAATTATAATTAAAATTAAAGAATTATTGTTGAATGACATAGGAGTAAATGAATAATTTTAGTTCTTAATTTGCTTAAGTGAAAACTTTTATGAAATAAACATGAAATATTGTTAAGGAACAAAATTTACTCAAACATTAGCAAAACAAATTTTGAGTGAATGGTAAAATCTTTTGAATGAAATAGGTAAAATGTAACTTTTGGTAAATGTTGTAAATATTATAATTGTAAATGATTATTTCATTGTTGAATTAGTATAGAAGTAAACTCTCGAAATTTCATAATTTATAAATTTTAAATTTATAATCAGTATAGTATGTGTTATGTTATTTACTGTGCACTTTACAAGTTTTTTTTTTAAATGAAATGAAATAGCAATAGTAATACATCATTAATTTAAAGTCCGTTTGATAACAATGTGATAAACATTGTTAGTGATAATTGATAAAGTTAACTAATTATACATTGCTTTATAACTAAGCATTTTATTAGGGAAGAAAGCTATTTAGATATTAATTTAAACAAATAGTTTTTGTTATTGTGTAGTAATTTAATTCGTAATAAGTTTACTTCTTAAATAGTTAAATAATGTATGAATAATTTTGATATGCAAATGAATTAATTAAATTTTGAGTGCTAAAAGTTAGAAAATTAATCGATGAAATCGTTAAAATTGTTTTTTTTTTTTTTTTTCATTATTATATGAGCAAATTTTTGTAAAAATTTTGATTTAAAAAAGAAATAATATAGTAAAATGATAATATTAATCTAAATTAATTGAGTATAATTGAATAGTTTAGAAAAATTATTTGATAAATCTTAGGGATTAAGTGCTAGAAGATAGAATCAATGGAATCTATAAACAAATAATTCAATTGGATATAGCTGAGTGATTTTTAGAAATTAATCTCTTCTAAAGATTAATTCGACTAATTTTAATTAATCTTTGCTTACTTCTCTTACTTCTTCATATTAATCTTTATTTATCATATTTGCTTAGCATAACAAATTTATTAAAATTTAAGCTAATATTTCTCTCACTTTTATCACTTTTTACTTGTTCAAAAGTAAAAGATTAATCGATAAAATGTTTATAAATTTAATTCATATCTTATAGTTTCTTTTGAGAATAACAAAAATAATTCTTTTTTTGTATTGGCACAAAGAGAATTCAAATGATTAAAATTTGTTGAAATTCAATTGTTATGATAGCATTATCAAATTGTTTACTTTTGAAAATTGGTTTACAAATATAATAACCAAAAGAGATTTCATATTTTCTTTAAAAAATAATAATAAATTCATTTTTGCTTACGTTACTATTAAACAATCAAATTTAAAAATCTTAAATCAGTGTTATGTATTAGTAATAAAAAAAATCAATTTTAGCTAAGTCAAATTTAACATTATTCCATCTGTTCGATAATTTAATTATCATTTAAAGTTTTAAATTTCATTAAAAATATGTTTAAGCTTAAAAGTTTGAATATTTGTCAAAATAAAAGAAAGAAAAACGGAAAAAAATAAAAATAAAAAAAGGAACGAAGAAATGACTGTCACTTCATTTGTCACATTATAACCTTTCAATCATTTCCCACTTTATTTTCAATCACTTATTTCACTTTTTATTTCATTTCAACTTCCACTTTCAGATGCATTCATCTTTTATTTAAAAACAAATACATTGCTTATTTTACAAATATGAAAAAAAATAAAATAAAATAAAAAAATCCCTTTTTCGACACAAATAGGTAATTTTTTTTTTTAAAAAAAAAGTGTAATTCGCATTTATCATTTCAAATAATAGTTGAAGGAAAAAAAAAAAAAAGAAAAATAAAAAACAAAACTATCAGTCATAAAAGATTTGTTATTTTGATGAAAACACAAATATTTAATGAAAAAAATTTTTTATTTAAGTTTTTCTAAAAAAACAAATATTATTTTGACAAATCAGCAATTTTAAATTAACAAATAATTATAATTAAATTCTAAAATTGAAAAATGAACAGACAAATGTAAATATTAATTAATAATTGAAATGTTTAAATATATATATGAATAATAAATTGTGCAATTATATGTTTGAAATTTGTTTTTAAAAAAAAAAAAAAAAAAAAAAGAAAGAAATTTCATTTTTCTCATTACTAAATTATTTGTTTATATTCTAATACATATAAATGCTGTAATGGTTTATCTGACTAATAAATAAATTTGAAATTGAATTTTATTTGTTATTTGTTGAGAAAAGCTTTTTCATCAAAATTTCATCGAATTTTAAGTAAAAAAAGTAATCAATTGTTTTTTTCTTTTTTTCTTTTTTTTGCATTTTTTTTCTTTACTTTTCAAACTTTTAATTTTAGCTTTTTTCAGATTTTTATCAAAAAATTGAACGAAAGAAAGTTACATTTATTTAAAAAATTTAAAATTTCAAGCAATAAATATAAGTTTTTTCCATTCATTTAATTTTTAACATAAAATAAATAAGCAAATTTCCAAACATATTTTATTAGTTTTTCCTTTTTTTTTTTCTTTTTGAAGAATATTCTTTAAAATTGATGAAGAAATTCATCAAAAAAAAAAAAGACGGAAATAGATATATTTCGATTAGATAAAAATAGATATATTTCTATTAGTAAAAAAAAAAAATTCGAAATTTATTTCTTATTTATCAAAGAATTTTTGAAATATATTCATAATATGAAAAAATAAGTTAAAAATTTTAATTGAAAGATGACAAATTTTATATTTTATCAGAAATTTTATAAAAGAAGAAAGACTACACAAATTATATTTATTCGAAAATTTTAAATTTAAAGCAATAAATATTTTTTTTTTTTTTTCATTTATTTAATTTTCAACATAAAATAAATAAGCAAATTTTCAAACTCATTTTGTTATTACTATTATTTTGTTTTTTTTTTTTTTCAAAAATATTCCCTAAAATTAATGAAGAAAATCATTTAAAAAGGAAAGAAATAGGTATATTTTCATTAGATAAATAAATAAATTCCAAAATATTACTTATTTAATTATATCGAATATAGCATTTATTGATTAAATAATTAATTAATTATTTACTGCTATTTGAATTCCAACTTTAGTACATATTTGAAATAAGATTTTATGCATAAAATTTTTTAGAAATTATCGCTAACAATGCTTAATCTAAAAGCATCTGCCGTTTATGAAAATTATTCATATGAGATGCATTTATATTTTCTATTTATTGTAAGTTAAAATGGTCATTAATTAATTACAAACAGATAA